TACTTTTTTATTCATCAAGGATGCATAAAATTGAAAAGTGATAAAGTCATTGATAAACTTACATGCTTTTAAATGCTAAAGTTAGCATTTAATACATTTCAAATTAAATGCTGTTCTTTTAAACTTCAAAATTCTATTCAAAGAATCTTGAAGAAAATGTATATTGGTTTCCACAATAATCAAATAATAATCAGCACAACTGTTTTCAACAATGATAATAATAAACATTTCTTACTAACTTCTTAATAATAAGAATAATAAACATTTCTTAATAATAAGAAACACGAGACTCTGAAGACTGGAAAAGAGCAGCACAGACATTCTGCTAAATTTCTTTAAATATCTTTTTGTGTTACAGAGAAGAAGAAAAAAGTCATTTGTGTTTGGAACAACATGAGGGTGAGCAAATTACTAGATTTTAATTTTTGGATGAACTATCCCTTTAAGAGCAGTGTTCATAACTCAGAGGTATTGCCAACATAAACCCAAAACACAGCTAATGGAGCATGGCTGCCATTCAACACAGCTTTAAACATGGGAAAAGACAGCAATCAGAGCGACCGCAAAAGCATATATAGAAAAGCATACATGCCAAGGTGAATTCATCTCACTTAAACCATCAGTAACATTAAAATGACATGCCCTAACACACTTGGGCACAGCAGCTGAGGTTATGGCCCACTGCTCCTACTTATCCAGCTTCAGCCAATCGGCAGCCACGATTGTCTGCTGTGCAAATACCTCAGCCTGAGTCCTCAAACACAGGACATTCCTGCCCTGTGAATCAGCTGGAGTTTGGAGCCAAACGGCCTACCTGAGAGTCGTCTTCTCACGCTATACCTCTCAATTCATCTCTGCATATGGCTCTGAAAACATGAGTCACACTCCAATCATGCTTAACCACCTCACTCGTCGCAGATATTGATCTGCCGTGCCATTAGAGTGGATTGTGTAGTATATTATGTAGCGCAACCAGCAGATTTAGAGGAAAATCAATACGGCTATTATAAAGCCGTATGTACTGAACGCATGATCTGCCATATCTGCATGTACAGAGGCATTTTAAAGTGGATGGGAGAAAAAAAAAAAACTAAAGTAGCATGCAAAGTGTATACTCTGCACAGTATCCTCACAACAAATCACCAAAATACAGTATACAACCCAAAAACACTGCTCAGTATACTGTATCCCATAATACATTGCTCTCGACTTGACGTATCATTGTGATACTAAAATATTTTATTATACCTTATTTAATTTACACTACCATTCAAAAGTTTGTGGTCCCTTAGCTCACTAAAGGCTGCATTTATTTGATTAAAAATAATGTATAGTAAAAACAGTAATATTGTGAAATATTTTATTAAAATGAAGTTTATTCCTGTGATGGCAAAGCTGAATTTTCAGCATCATTACTCCAGTCTTCAGTGTCACATGATCTTTCAGAAATCATTCTATAATGCTGATTTGCTGCTCAATAAACATTATATTTCATATATATTTCTCAATATAAGCACTAATATAAGCATAAAGAGGAAAAAAGTCAGAATTGCAAGATATAAAGTCAGAATTCTGCCTTTTTTCTAAGTTTGCATCTCACAATTCTGAGTTTAAATCTCACAACCTTTCTCAGAATTCTGAGTTTACATCTGTTTTTTTGAAAGCTGAATTTTCAGCATCATTACTCCAGTCTTCAGTGTCACATGATCTTTCAGAAATCATTCTATAATGCTGATTTGCTGCTCAATAAACATTATATTTCATATATATTTCTCAATATAAGCACTAATATAAGCATAAAGAGGAAAAAAGTCCGAATTGCAAGATATAAAGTCAGAATTCTGCCTTTTTTCTAAGTTTGCATCTCACAATTCTGAGTTTAAATCTCACAACCTTTCTCAGAATTCTGAGTTTACATCTGTTTTTTTGTTTTTTTTCTTCAATTGTGAATTTTTTATTGCAATTGGAAGTTTATATCTCACAATTCTAAGTTCATATTTGGCGAGAAGGTGGTCAGAATTATGAGACATAAAAGTCACAATTATTTATTTACATGTATTTATTTATTATTCTGTGGTGAAAACGGGCTTCCATAATATACGCATATAACTTGACATAAAAACTTTGAGTGTTGTGTTTTAACACTTGACCTGGGTGCAATGTGCTGCCACGGCATGGCTGTAGTTTAATGTCCATAGAGTTGCACTGGCGAACACTGACACAAATAGTGTGAAAGGGCCTTAATAAACACACTAGAATGTATTCTCAACACACCAAGAGTAAAGAAATGGTGTAAAGGTGGCACTGGCCCAACACAAAAGAGTAGTTTGGCAGCGTCTGTGCAGCCACTAGACAAACAATTGGAACGATCCTCTCTTTAAGAAGGGTTCTCAAACAAGTAAACACAAATACACGCTAAAAAGACAAGCCTCTTCAGCGCCTGCCACGTTTGGTGCCCCCCTTGTCTCTTCTAACTGAGGTTTTGTGTGTATTCAGCACATCTAGGCAACTGCGATTTTAATCGAGGAATGGGAAGTTGCCATTTTGACACTTGGCAGAACATGGAAGCCTCTCTGTTTCTCAATCCTGGGAATGCAAACAGCAGTCGTCTCCCAAACGGCTTTCCACATCCCTCCTCATGCAACCTGGCCAGCCCCTGCACCTGTGCCTCTGTCTGTCTCACCTCCCGTGCCTTCTCTCTCTCCCTCGCTTTCTTTTTGGGTTTACTGTAGGCCAGGTGTGAGAGACGTTGGCACTGCCTCAATCAGACTCCTTGTTGTCGTCTTATGAGGGCAGCAGATGCCTAATAAGTTGCCCAGCATGCACACACACGCAAGCACACAAACTTCCAACACATGCAAAAGTCCAATAGAGCACCAAATGTTGGGAAAGGAGTGATTCATTAAAGGAAAAGTTCACACAAAAAGTATATTCTGTCATCATTTACTCAACCAAAAAAAAAAAACCTGTATGACAAACCTTTCTCTGTGGACCTCAAAAGAAGGGACTAAAGCATTCATGTTTAAATAAAAAAATAAATAATATGTATGTATATATATGTATGTATATATATATATATATATATATATATATATATATAGTTTATATAACTTGGGTACTACATCATTATAATAAAACTATATTATTCCAAGTACACTGAAGTCATACAATAACTTTGTATAAGAAACAATTATTCCATTAAAATCTGCCCTATCTCTACTCAGTTCATGAGAGAAGAAATTATATCCCATTTGTGAACAAACCACTATTTTGAGTTAGAATGATTCATTCATTAATTAATCAAAATTATGAGTTTCTTGAATTCAACTCACTGATTCAATGATCTGATAAGCAGTTCCTCAAGTAACATCTCACAGGAAGAGAGGAATACAACTTTAACTTCTGTGTGTTCCTCACAGAAATCTGTCACATGAATTCAACTTTTATGATTTTTTTGTGTCATTTTGAAGCTTGAAAGTTGACATTCAGTCTAATTACAAGAAAAAATCCAGACATTTTTCAAAATATTCTCCTAATGTTCTTTTGAAGAAAGAAGTCATGCAGGTTTAGATCAACATGAGGGAGAGTACATGCCAACTTTTATTTTTGAGTGAACTATCCCTTTAAGAGCCTGCTCTTGTGTGCAGGCAGAGCAAAGCCCTAATATTCCACAATGCTTTACCGTTTATACTGCATCTGCTGCTCTCTACTTCTTTGTGCTTACTTAAATCCCTGCACTGCCCATCTCGCCTCTTTCACCTCCCACTCGCTCCACTTAAAGCTGTTCTAATGATGATGTCTCCAGGACAGCGCTCTGATTAATGATTATAACAGGGTATTAAGTGACAGGTAAACCAGCGGCAGGTGCTTTTTGCCTGCACACACACGCTGTCTCTCTCAATCTCCCATAGGTGCTTGCGGCTTGATAGACAGAACCCCAGACAGAAGGTCTCTGTGAATGTTTCTTTCAGGGGGGGGGTTGAAACGGACATCTGCTGGGGTCTGGCCGCTGCGGTGTGGATGCGCTGCGTTGTGTGGCGTTCAGTGGGCGCTGAGCAGCGTCGGCTTTGAAGCGGCGTCTGCGCTCAGAGATGTTTTGTTCCCTCGAAGCCGGTGGTGGGATTAAATCAGACTCTCCAGAGGAAGAAAAGCCTCTTCAGTGGGCCTACGCAACTGTTTGTAAGGGGGTTTATGGCACACCATGAAAGTTGTGCCATTAAACAGTGGGTTTGATGAATAGGTCTTCCATAATGCTAATGCCACCCATCTATGTGAATGTGTGATTGAGCATTGACCGTGGCCATACACTCAGATCAAAGTCAAATCCTGTTTGAAAGGAGATGTGTGACTTAAAAATGTGTAACACGGCAAAGAGCTCAAATAGCGAGTTATAATGCCAAGTGCAACATAAAAGAAGGGAGTTAGAATGAGGTTTACGCTGAGACAGCTACCGTGTGGGTAAAATACATAATTTTAAGCGTCTGCCTCAAAGGCACAGTTCAAAAAAAGCAACAAAAAAACCTTGTCTATTACGCTTCAGCTTGATTCCTCTATCTCTCTTCAGAGCTTTTCCAAATCACAGATCACAACATGCTGAATAGTTAATTACCGACTGTACTTGGACATATTAACACGTTTAAGCATGTCTTAAAGTGACTAATTAAAAACAAACATGACAGCAATTCATTTCAAAGAATTACCACTTCTTATAAGGTCCTCAGACTTCTTTTAATGAAGCTGTTTTTTTTTTCTTTCTGACTGTCATTTTCTGCTAAATAAAGCCAGAAATAGAAACAAATGGGGAAATTAAAAACAGGAAGGCTGACATCTTCCGTAAGTGAAATATCTCAGTCTGAGAATACAGCACTAACAATGCCATCCGTTTTCATACTCTCTTCTTCAGCTGTCTTTGAAAGTGCTGTCTCAGCTCGAGTTACCCGCCAGGGATCCAACCAACTCTTTAACATTGACCTCTGAGAGAGCGAGAGTGGGTCACTCACCTCTTTTTGGCTGGGCAGTCCTCTGAGTACTCGCTGCTTCCATCTGTACTCTGAGAGTAAGACCCGTGCTCTTTATGTCCTCCTTTAGACCCACATCCATTCAGCTGCCCATTTGACAAGGAAGCTGTACAGAAAGATAGAAACAGCAAAAACCTGAGAAACAGAAACGACCTCCAGATGCAGCAGGTCAAGTAATCAAATTTAAGATGAAATGTCATCATCACAGTGCGGTTTTGCTTTAATAATGCAATGCAAAACTGAAATGGAGTATGAGCAAATGGAAAACGAAAGATGGTTTACTTCAAAATCCTACCATAGAGAGAAAGATGGAGGCTGAAAAGTGATGACTTAAACTTAATATTCAGCTTGAATAGGTGGTTGGTAGACTTTGTTTTGATGCAAATTTTTACATTAAAAACTTTAAACTGAAACACTCTGGTCTGCAGTAAGTGGGATCTTCAACAGTAGCACAGATTAAAATTAGCTGCAGTTTTTATATAATAAATAATATATGAATGTTATTGTTATTATTCTATATTACTTTTATCCTGTTGTTGTTTTTGTTGCTTTTTCCCCATTATCGATGGACACTGTAATAAAGAGACATGAAATCAAAGAAAGAAAGAAAGAGTTGAGTCAGAGCATTCACAATTACCGCAAGGCCATTGCTCCCGCTTTCCTTTCAGTAGAGAGCTATGTTTTGAAATTACACCATAATATCGGAGCTACCTTTTCAATATATTACTATTCAATTTACATAATAAATTAACTGACATTTATAGGGTCCTCCTTCCTTCTCAGTCACTACACTACTGAGTTTCACCTGGCAAAAAAACACTGATTAATAACATATAAACTTCTGATTCCTGTCTGGAATTGATATTGATGGTCTCAGACATTTAAAAACATGATTATTACAAAGAAGGGTCACACTTTATTTTAACAGGTCCAATTCTCGCTATTAACAAACCATGACTTTTGCCTCAATAAACTCCTAATTGGCTGCTTATTAATAGTTAGTCAGATAGTTGTTAAGTTTAGGTATTGGGTAGGATTAGGGATGTAGAATATGGTCATGCAGAATATGTGCTTTATAAGTACCAATAAACAGGCCAATATGTTAATAATAGGCATGCTAATAAGCAACTAGTTAATAGTGAGAATTGGTCCCTATACTAAAGTGTTACTCAAATAAGTTAGCAAAGAAAAGTGAAAAGAATTAATTAAATATTTTGCATTCAAAGAAAGATAAATATTTATTCTGGTTTCTGGACAGTCCGGTGAGTTAGACCCGGTGTGAACAGCATTTAACACACGGAAACCTGTAATGCAACATCTAAAGAGCTCTGGATGTTAACACCAGAACATCCAGGATTACGGAGTTAAATCTCCATTTATACAGCTCAACTGATTTAATGTCTGTGTTTAGTAACATTCGTTGAGTGAATATCCAGAATCCTCAAACACTCCCAGAGCTGGACCTCAAATCTCCAACCGGCCAGAAAAACAGCTGCAGAACAAAGAGACTACAATAAAGCTGCTTTCCAACACATACATGAAAATCTATAAAAATGCTTCTCTCATATATGGACCAATATGGCTGGACTTCAAAGCATCCAAGCGAAGTCCTAAGAGGTCTATTCTAATGGGACAAAACATTGTCTTTGGGAAAACTGGGACCATTTAACTCAAAAAAGAAAAGCAGCAAAACAACATGTCTTATAGTCAAAACTGGTAATTTAAAACGACTCCTCAAGTGCAAGAGTAAACAAGCTCGTGAGCCGCTGCCTTCATCACAACACAGGAAGCCAAAACCCGAGAGAGCCGGCCAAGCCAAGCCGACGTGGGTGGAGAGGGATCAGATGTAAACAGCTTAATGCAGGCTGCTCGCTTCCCGCGCCGTGTTTTACATATGTTGGTCTCACTTGAGTGGCTGTGTGAAAGACAGTCGGAGTCTAGCGGAGCCAAATGTCAGGTTTCTCTCTCTCTCTCTCTCTACAGACCGGGACAGCGTGTGACGGTTTATCAACCGTCTGTCCATCAGGGCCTCTAATCATATTTATGCGTGTTTAACTAAGCCCGTCACCTCGCTGCATTCACCTCCTGGTTTCCACAAAGAGCGAGATGTCACTTGAGCAATGTGGTGTCATGATGTGTGGCCCATTAGTTACTTTCAAATATGGACCAATGGAGAAATATGGTATAGGTGTGTCCCATCACAGATCAGATGCTCAGAGAAAACACATCTACACTGAATTATGACACTCCAAATGGACACAAAAATTGCTTGTCTTAAAATTGCACTTCATGCCATTATTAGGAGTCATTGTGCTGTCCGTTGACCTTGCCCTGGTCCTAAACTGGACTGAGGACTTAAAAAAAAAAAACTTAAAAAAGACAGACTGGTCATTTAAGACATGTACAATCATTCAGTATATGCTTAGACTTCTCTAGTTTCCTTTACTTTATAAATCCAACTGTATTATAACTGATATGCAACTTTCCAAGGCCTCTAAATTATCCACATGATCAAAACTGTGTACACACAATCTTTTACATGCATTTTGTTGTCTGATTGATAGTTTATATTTTTTTAGCAATTAAAAGACCTTATAGTATTATTCTAAAAATGCTCAGGTCATAGTTCACATGTCTTTTGCTGGGAATAGTGAAAAGTGAACGTAAGAATACATTTTATATTGTTATTAATGTTTCAAGATGAACATTTTCTGGACTGAAGCAACTTGGAATTTAACGGGACTGAAGGTTTACTTGGTTATCCAAACATAACTTTTTAGATTCATGATAAAATATGACTATCGAATATGATCATCAGGCTTTTTGAGGAATGTTTACTTGTTCACCTCTCAATCATCATTTTATTGCATTGCATTACATTACATTTTTGACCCCTGCAGCTTTGATCATACAACTAAGCATTCAAATATCATCTAAGACATATTATTGGGAAATATAGAGTGACAACTGATAGCTACATGCATTTTAATGTAAGCAGTCTGCTATGAAATTGGTCTTGTCAAGTAAATTACGACTGCTTGACTAATATTGCAAGTGGGCTCTTGTGCAAAAATAAATGTTACATAAAGCATACGTCCCCTTTAATAAGAGCATGTCTGGCCTGTGGTGGCAGACGCAGTTGCTTTGGCCAAAATAGGCTGTTTTTGTCCTCTTAACACTGCCTCAAAATGGATGCCAGTGCCACATTGTTTGGAACACAAAAGCTAAAACACGTCCCCTGACGGTCCCCTTTTGTCTGCTCTGCCAGCGCTGCTGGGAAACGATGGGCATCAGGAGCAGAGCAGCCAAGAAGTGATCTGCAGCCACATGGAGTTTGGTTCCCTCAGACTCTCCATTACTCAAGGATCTGTGCATTGACTGTAATGAGCTTCATTTCAGATGGTCTGAGATTATGAAAACAAAGCATCATACAAAACAAAACACAAAAACCAAACCAAACAACAACAACAACAACAACACTGTCCATAGATACAGTTGCCAACAAGTCACAGACTTGATACACAGAGAGTGGTTTAGCAAAGGAGAAAAAAAAAGCTGACACAATGAAAAACAAGATGATGATAGAGCAGAAAAAAGTTTGTATACAGACCAACACATTTTATTTTTCAACACAAGAAATTGTGAATGCTATGCAGCTCTTGCTCCATACTAGGCCTGTCACGATAACAACTTTTTGTTGTGTGATATATTGGCCCAGAAATAATTGCGATAAGAGATATTATTGTCATTTTAAAGACCATTTTATGCCACTGAATATATAATCACAATGTAACAGCATAATAACGCAAGAAGGCCTACACACTTCCAAATGACAACAAACCTTTAATTTTTAAGAATATTTAGATCATGGAAATTAAGTATCAAAATATTAGATACCTTAAAAAACCCTGACTAAATGGTAAATAAATATTTTCTAACAAAAAGTGCAAAGTAACAAGTAGAAAAAAAGAAAAATGCACAAATAACTTGTATGGAGATTTTTCAATCTACAGATTTTTCCCTGACCTTCTTTTCTCTGTAAATTAAGGGTGCACACTATTGCTGAAAAACACAATCACTACTTAGCAGTCAGATGTCTGTATGCACAAAGGCACAAATCCCTAAACAAGGCCATGTCTGCAGATTAAACTTTTTTTGTAGAAGCATTTTTAAAATTTGATCTAGCACCTTATGACTACACCACGTTATGTATGAGAAGCTGCAAAAGACACAGGCGCAAGTGGAATGTACAAAACATGGTGACATACATTTTTAAGTAAATATAATGGGCGATATATTGCGTCACCAAAAATGATTGAGGTCATGTACATATATTGCGCGGTAAGTCGATATCTTGATTATTGCGACAGGCCTACGCCATACCTCGTCCCATCTTGTGTTGTTGACTGATTTCTCTTGAACAGTAAAATTCATCAGCGATTGCTAACGTACAGACGGAACCTAAATCGGACACTGATCCTTTCGAGTCAAAACACGCTGCACTTGTGTCTGTTGAGCATTTGCATCTGTGAACAAAGTCTTCATGCATCATCATCCTTCGTTAAACACCGTGTGTTCAAAGGGATTAGCGTTACTTGAGGTAGCAACGCAACATAACACATACAACAACAAGAAAACAAGATTAAGGGCTGTTGTGATAAGAGCTTATTATCAGTTTAAAAGTTTATTCAAAGAGTGTATATCTAACCACCTGCCGTAGTGTCAACAGAAACCCCTTCGGCTTGAGTCTCTCTGCATGTTTACATGCGGAGCGAGGGGTTTGTGTTTGAACTCCTGCTGTTTTTAGAGTCACTGGGACGAGATTACCTGTCACCAGTCGACCACATGGCAGCTACTCTGATGTTCAGAGTAGTGAAGATATTTGTTTGCAAACAAAACAAGGTTGCGAGAGACTACAGGCCTGTTTGTGGACATCAATCATTTAGCAGACGAAACATTGAAAAAGTAAAAAAATATATATATCTAAAAGTCTTTCAAAAATATTTACATTAGACAAAAATATTTACATTAGTTGTTAAAATAAGACGTGAGCTAGGACCTTAAAAGTGACACGAAACAGGATTTTCAACAATTTCACCTATGTGATCTCAAATATTTGTGTAACGGACAGTTAGCGAGAAAGTGCATTTTGAATTTGTGTTATTTTAATACATTATGGCATACTAAGTGGACTATTTCTCACAGCCTTGTTTCATTCACATCAATTAAATTATGCAGTCTACTCTAAGTAAAGAGAAGTGCCCTGTCACCCCTGACATAAGCTATCAACTGGTGAAAGACAATAGTCTCACTTCTGTTGTATTTCTTTTATTTTCCTTTCTTTTTCCAAATTGAGTGATAAAATGGATAAGCCCACATCAAGAGAAGGCTTTCCTCCTCGTCTCTGTCTGGCTGTGCAGACTCATATATATGAGGCCTGTTCTTTGTTCCCTGTAGAGTCACAGAGCTCTTTTTAGTGAAAGCTCTGGCTTTCTGAGGCCCGTGTGAAGTGAAGTCCCAGAGTGTTGAACTGCAGTGTCAGACACGCAGCTATCAGACAACTTCCAAAGCTCTGAAGTAACCTGGATCACTTTTACACATATACTCACTGGAAACTTCCTTAGGAGCTTCCTTTGACCAAACAAAAGTAGATCAAATCAAATCAAACCAATCTTTGCACTGTACTCAAAGAGAAAGAGCTAAATCAAAGCTGGCTTCATTCATATGATGGAAAACATGCATTAATAACAGATTTTAATATCAAATGGGTAACCACACGTCCTTTTTTTGTCCTGGCAGGGATTTCTAAATTGCCTAAAATGTCTGGGTTTTGCTATTGATTTTCTCTCTATGGTCCTCATATATTGTATATACACATATTTGTATTGCTTTGACCGTTCTATGTAGATCGCAACTTCTGGCATGCCACGATTGGTCGATTATATACGATGGCTGCACGGCACACTATTGGTCAAACTACTTTTCAGTCATTACCTTCAGCCAAAACCTGGACATTTTAGGCAATTTAGAAATCCTGAGCAAGACGTGTTCAGGAAAAAGAAGGATGTATGGTCACCCTATATAAAAGTGTTAGTAACAGACTTGTCCAGCAGGTGAAAAACTGAACAAAAACGTGCCTGTGTACAGTTTACCAAGCTATTACCCTGAGCGTTTAGACGCTTGGTGAAGAAAAGACTGAAAAACTTTGAACGTGTGTCTTACCATTAGGCCCTTTTCCTCCATTGCTGAGGTCATCACAGAGCTGGCGCTTTTGAGCGCTCTTGAACTCCTTCAACGAGAGATAGAGCACTTTCTGCACCACTCGCTCCTCCGACCAGGGCATCCCATCATTATCATCCTGTAAAGAGAACACAGATCAGCACTATTGTAGAGAACGCATCAGCACTCAAGACACTGACAAACTTAAATGCAGCTGTTTGAGTAAACAAATAAAATCAATCTACAGCACTTTTCAGAGAGATAACAAAAATCACACTTAATGCGCACAAACACACACTTCCCTGCCAAATATCAAATGCTGTTGATTGTTCATGATGACTTCATTTTCCCTCTACTTTAGGATCAATGATTTGTTTGATCTTGGACTATTTCAAAAACTGAATCATCTTTTAGAGAGATTTTAAGAATGGAACAAAGACAAAGACTTCCTTTCCAAAAAATACAGTTTCCTTTCCAGACAGCAGTCCTTGATAACAATTCTGAATCTACCTATAGAATAATTTTCCACACAGGTCAGGTTCTCACAGGCATCCTACAAATAACAAAAGTGTGCAGTAGGAGTTATTTGTTGTTATTTTCATTCATTATACCATTTTTAATAAATAGCAGTAGTGCACTAGACAAAAACTAAAGCAACTTAAACATAATTATTAAATTTAAAAAGAAAAGATAAATATAAACATGTTTAAATACAGTAAGTATGTAAGATTTATCAGTGGGATTCATCTGTAGATGAGGTTAAAGACACTGATGGTAGCAAATAACCACATTATGTTGACATACAAAGAGCCAGTTAAAATGTTATTTCCCACACAGACAATAACGGCTTCCTCTCTCTCTCAGAGCGCTTGTCTCGAGAGGGGAACTACAGACATTCCTGTGCTGTGGTGGTGTGGGAGTTGTGTTTCTCACAGTTACTGTACTGAAGGAGAAGCACATCATTAGATAGCTACAAAAATAGTAACGAAGTAATGAATCCTTCTAGATGTGAATGAAAGAGTCAAGGTGAAGACAATGCAACAAAAATAACAGTCTGACCTTGGTTAATTGTAACTAAACTAAATCCTGGAAAGAGATCTCCGCACGTGATGTCTTAAATGGGTCCCATTATGCTTTTTCATTTTTTTAAATTTTAGTCAGTGTGTAGTGTGTATGTTTGGGCACAAAATAGATCTAGAAAGTTACAAATCTCAAAGTCCACTCCAAAGGGAGATATTTCGTTTAAAAAAAAAATCCCTTTTCAAGAACTACAACGAACGGCTCGTTTGGACTACAGCGTTGGTTTCCGGGCTTTGTGATATCACAAAGCGGCTCATTAGAATATCATTAAAATAATTCCCGCCTACAGAAATTCGAATGGTTGGGGGGTGGGGAGGGGCGAGGTTGTGGTTAGAACGCTTGGTTGAGTGAGTGCATCAGACAAGACGACGAAGAAGAAGAGCTGTTGCAGAGTTAGTGCATCAGAGAAAACGAAGAAGAAGAGCTGCTGTGCTGTAGCGTCAGCCTGAAACGCTGTTTTTTTCACCTCCGTGCCCAAACGTCTTTGTTTGGGCTTCCGAAAGCGGATGATGTCAGGAAACAGTGGTTGCAATTTATTTTTTTACTCTGTTCCTGAGCATTATAACCCCAATTTGCTATTGTGTGCTGTGCATTTTACTGAGGACAGCTTCCACAACACGAGGGAGTACAGTGACGGATTCGCAAAAAGCTTTTGTTGAAAGACGGAGCAAGGGGCGTGGCAGTGCTGAAACACCGTCTAAGCTGTTCGCCAATCACAACGCACTGGGACAGCTAACCGATCACAACACATTTTGTTTTTCGGAAGGCGGACCTTCATCAAAGCCGGAACTAATCGAGCCGTTTGTGCCAGGCTGGGGAGAAAGGTATTTTGATCATGTAAATTATGTGAAATATAATGCGTTTTTTGAACCACCAAGCATGAGCGCATGTTCTAGTACACCCCCAAAACAAAATTAAGACTTTGTAAAAGAACATAATAGGACCCCCTTTAAAAAAAAAAAAAAAAAAAAAAAAAAGACCTCTAACAGAAACTGGTGCCACCAAACTAAATTTTTTAATGTTCTGGAAAGCAAGTGGTGTTTGTGCAAAACTTGTCTCCACAATGCTAGGTGGTTTTCACAGTGATTCTAAGCCTTTGCGAAGGACCAAGGGCACACTGCTATGTGTTTGCTATGGTGTTTAGATAGTTGCACTAAAAAAAAAAAACACCAAAAAAAACTTAAGAGTTATGCATTTGAATTGCATATAAACTTTTCAATCATTTCGACCACACAGTTTTAACAAACAAATAAACTTGACATGATGCATATTAGTCAGGCATACATAAATTAAACAGGTACATTTTTGTAACAGTACTAATAAACTGAATGCGTTTTAAATACACAATAACTAAGTTTATATTTATCATCGATATACCCAATGTGTTTCTATTTCATACATGAATAATGCTTGTTCCACAACTAGCCATGTTTTAACAAAGTTATTTTTCTATTTAACTAAATTAATGTATTTGTTTTCACAATAAATAGATTCATACTGATTCTAAGTATTTGTCTTTCAAGACATACTTATTCTCTAGGGCCTTCGATATTCATTGACCACTGGTTTGATCAATGTTTTACTATTGTTGTGTGTTTTGTATTTCTCGTAGTTACTTCTGTTTTTGTACAGCATTTTGATCAACCTTTTTTTTTTATTGTGATTGTTTATAAAGAAATATTGCATTGTATAGTAATCTGAATGATTACTTAAATAAAATCAAATAGATGCAAATAGTTAATAATAAACTATGCCATTACATTTTTGAGAGCTGAAACCATACCGGTTTCTTATCACCAATTTATGTAAGATGTACGCACCACATATATTAGTTTATGTTAAAATCGTGTAATACAAATGGATGGAAATGTAGGTCTAAATATGTTTTCTTTCTTTTTTTAGTTCTGGACTCAAAAAAAAACATATCAATGAACTACAAGGCTTCAGGTACCATTCATGTTCGTATCACAAAGTATAATACTTAAGGTTACAAAATTATTAAAATCCTTAACACAAAGTTACTAAAACAGTAAACGCTTCCTCAAGAATCACTAACAGTTAGTAAAAGTTCCTGCTCTACACATGACCTTTGTCAATTTAATGATTTTGAGACCTAAAACTGGACAAATCTGGAGGAAAGGCCCAATTAGAAGTGTAGGGTTAAGCAGAAGGTGGGGCTTAGGGAAACAAAAGGCATGGGAGTGGGAGTGTGTGCGTGTGCGAGTTCCTGTGCGGGGGCTGATACTGTCAGGTGAACATCAGATCTCCCAGCAGACATGTCTGTCAACAAACACACACACACACACACACTCCTCGAGACTACTCTACGCACTGATGCGCTGCAGAAGCCTGACAGCGGCTGATTGGGTGTGTGGTGTGTGAAACCACCAGAGCACCTCGTTAGATACACACACACACACACACCTGCAGACGTGCACGCACACACAGACAGAGCGCGGCTCAAAATAGCCTGCATGCAAAGCCGCAGCTCAACCACAGAGCTGTTCTCACATACACCAGAATTAGCAAGCGATACAAAGCATCAGTTTTCAAAATTAACTACATATTATTGCTCTAATGCGCCGCGCTGGGGTCCTTTGCCAAGAGATGGCAATAATATCAGCATGTGAGTGCGCGTAGAGCGCTCCACGCAGACGGCGAGGTGGGCTGAAGCGCTCAGAGGCTTGATGCTGTCATTGGATCCCAGGAGCACAATCCAGCAGGCTGCCGGGTAGGCAGCAATTACCCCGCGCTCGCTATCACCTCCGCGCCAGCGCTGCTCTCTGGATAGAGTATTACTCCTCACAGCACGCACACACCTCTCCCGTCTGAAAAAGAAAAAAACAAACACTCCTCTCTCTCAACTCTGGGAGCCGACCACGAACGCTTTGCCTTCAAGTTTGTTTTCTTTTTTCCCTTTCCACCCTCCTCTCCGTCCTCCCTTCCCTCAAATCCTGGCAAGCCGTAACAGTTATTTCCTTCTTGCGCTAACCCAGCTCAGGGAAAAAATGCTGAGCTGGATGCTGGCCTTAACAGAGCTGTAAGACCGCAGCTCGGCTCGCTAGCCTGCAATGAAAACAACGATCAGAAGAATGGAACAGTCATATTACTAGGGATGCATCAACCACCATATCAGTATCGGCCGATAAATGTACATTTTTACTGTTATCAACCCGATAAGAAAATTTGGTCGATATCTTAAAGCTGATAAAAAATGCATTATTTCCTTCAGAGACACTTCAGATGCGCACCGTTTGCAATGATGGTTTTAAACTGCTTGAAATATGATTGGAATCACTTTGAAAAGAAAAATACAGTTAAGATTATAGCCATATCACCCTGCAGCCCAAGACTGCTTGCCCACTGAAGCCAAGCAGGGTTGAGCCTGGTCAGTACCTGGATGGGAGACCTCCTGGGAAAACTAGGTTGCTGTTGGAAGAGGTGTTAGTGAGGCCAGCAGGGGGTGCTCACCCTGTGGTCTGTGTGGGTCCTAATGCCCCAGTATATTAATGGGGACACTATACTGCCAAAAACCACCGTCCTTCGGATGAGACGTTAAAGACGTTAAACAAGGTCCTGACTCTCTGTGGTCATTAAAAATCCCATGGCACTTCTTGTAAAGAGTAGGGGTGTAACCCCAGTGTCCTGGCCAAATTGCCACCACTGGCCCTTGTCTATCATGGCCTTCCTAATAATCCCCATCCACTTGATTGGCTCTATCTCCCTCTCTCCTCTCCACCTGTAGCTGGTGTGTGGTGAACGTACTGGCACCGTTGGTGGTGGTGGTGGTGGTGGTGGTGCCCCCCCCCCACCCCATGATTGTAAAGTGCTTTGGGTGTACAGCAATACACAATAAAGCGCTATATAAATGCATCATTCATTTATTCAAGTGTAACATGTGCAGGGCAAGTCTGTCAAATAGGCTACATAAAATTATAATGAGAACATTACTGCAAAATAATGTTAGAGATTATTTTAGCGCTTAATTGTTACAAGAAAAGTGCATCCTGTTCATGACTGTCACAGTTAAGTTTGCCTGTGCATTTGCGGCCTTTTGTG